ATCGACCAGACTACACAGCGCAACAACCCAGAAGACGGATATCTTCATACTCACCGCTGTGAGAACCTCAAGTCTTACCTTATACTACTCTGTGAACGGTATCTTTGGCTTATTCAAACTCATACAAATAGTGTTGTTGTCTTCCAGATAGAAATTCAACAAGTTTTAGATGTTTTAATATGAAATATCACAAAAACATAATCAAAATTAATGTAATTTGTGGAATGAAACTTGTGGATGGAGAGAATGAGCAGACGGACAAGACGGTCTCCCATGAGCTTCATACATGTTCACAAAAGTATCATTCATTTTTCAGTATTTATTTCACACATATTTCACGCGCTGGTTTCATGAACCTGATGAAATGAAGGTTTCATTTCATTATTAGTCATACTGACAGCATTATTTTCAAAGCCACTCTAGTGGATTGACTGAAGAGTGAGACTGTCCTGGAGATGAATTGTTGGTCATTTTACCGTCGTTCTGAATGCGTTTTATGTGTTGAACGATAAAACTAAAACACTGGTTTTATGTGCAGAACATGTGCATTGTGAGGGCCATTAAAGAGGTGAGTACTATAGTCTCTAATGGACCCATGTGTAAAACGAAGCTTGTTTGTGCACCAATAGACTTGTTTCAGGCACGATTACCCCTCACCGACCCAGTCGAAATCCTCATGAATTTGTACTGACGTAATCACAGATTTCGTGCTTGGTCGACACATTCTATTGGAAGTTAAATGGATTTGTTTCTTTGTCCGAAAGCTTAACCTACAGTTTATATAGTTTATTTTGTATTTCTTACACAAAATTCATTATTTTACTCTTTGCCCATATTAAATGAAAGTAATAAAAATAGATTAATTTCGTATGTGGAACCTACAGCGTCAGCTGTAGGAAGTATTTTATTTATAAATATTGTCAGTCGAGTAGACCTTGCCTGTAAAGAAGCTGTCATTATCTTGCCATAGCTCAGGTTAGGCTAGTTGCAAGATTCTTTCCGTGAAAGCCCGGGTTTGCTTCCAAGTCAATACATGTGAGATTTATGGTGAGAAAGTGTCACTGGAGCAAGTAATTTTTTCTATTTTTTCAGGCTTTCTCCTCTCCCCTGTCAAAATCATTCCACTGGTGTTGTCAAGTTCACTCATGTACAATCTGGGACTGGACAAAGGGTCCATTAATGGAAGCATTTCCGCAGGGACATGGTCTCACCCATTCATAAAAAAATATTGTAGTGCTGTTTTCAAGTTCTGCTGTATTGTATCAGTCAGTTCTAGAAACACGAATTAAACCCGAGGAGAGGGATAGTTTGGAAATTATTCTGTGTGAAGTTCAATGTAAGGCAGATTCAACATGCTTAATAAATATTCCAAAGCCTATTTCATCTAAGTGAGAACATCTGGATTACAAACTCAGTATCTCTGACATGACCCGTGTTGTCACTGCTCGCACTTGATATTACTTATTTAATGTAGTTCCACCATTCCATAGGTATGAGCCGAGATAGCTCAGTCAGTATAGTGTCTAGCTACGGGCTGGAAGACCGGGGTTCGATCCCCGACGAGGGCAGTCCTCTAGCCTCTGCGTCCAGACCGGTTCTGGGGCCCACCCAGCCTCCTCTACAATGGGTACCGGGGTCCTTTTCCGGGGGTAAAGCCGACCGGGGCGTGATGCTGACCACTCACCCCCATCTAGTGCCGAGGTCAAGGAAGAGAGGAGCTATACCTCCTCTCACCCCAAACGCCTACATGGCGTATAGTGGGACAAACTTTACTTTACTTTTACCATTCCATAGGTAAACATGTAGCGCATTAAAATCTTGATATACAGAGTGTCCGTTTCTGAACCTCCTCTTCTAATCCACTAACCTGGCTAATGCTTATTTTGGCCTTCACAAACAATCTGCTTAAGGAAATGTGGTTCCGTCAAGTTGATTGATTCCTCTGTTCCATTCCGCTTGAATAACAGCATTTGGGCCCGAATCTTCAGCTTGTCCTTAGACTGAAGACAACTGTCTTCTGAAATGCATTTCCGTGTAGTCTGTTAGAAGTTTACCAATATTTTAGAGGTCCTTGCTGCCTCCATATTCAGGGCAATAAGTAATTGCTCATCGCCAAGTAGACAGAAATCTTTGGACGCAGCGCCGTGAAAACCTCAAATTCCTCTGTCCTAAGATTGTTCACGTGCTCAAAGAGCTGAAAGCATTAATAACAGCATGAAAAAATATTACATTAAAATACAGCGTAGCTCAAAATATGTAATTTGTAAGAAAGAGGATAGCTACCAAATATTTTCTGCTAAAATTAATAGTTTTGCGAGGAACTTCATGAAGATGCTTTTGCTAAGATTTTTGGTGTAGGCATTGTATATGTATATGTTACCTGACCTGGAAGGTGTCAGCATGTCACGACTAAGAAGAATGCAGTGGCATGTGAAACGGAGGCAGAATTATTTTACTTTTAGGTAACAAGGAAGAATGTGATTCGGACGGGTTTAAATGTACCTCCTTTATATATTTTTATACCGACATTAACCTTGATTTTCGTTTATTACTAATATCCCATCGGTGTAAAGTCAATCATTCTACAGGCATCACATCACACACAGTCACACCATACTTCTTCTTTGTATTTCATTAAATATTTACTACCACGATAAGTGTTCCCAACAAAAGTTTCATATGTAAAGAAATTGCGTAAGCATTTTCTGCGATTTGTCAGTTTGAAATGTATTTACAAAATTCCAATTGAGCTACGTGTAACATAGAAGCAACTTTGGAGTTTAACAGGGCAGAAGAAGGCCGAAAGTTTTAGTACAGATTTCACAGTACCAGACCGAAGTGAACCCGTCTAATAGTTTTTGAAATAAAGCGGTAAAAATGAAGGGAAGAAGCCACCTCGGAATTATAAATGCATTTGTTTGATATCGTAAAAATTGCATACCATTTGATATCATTCTTTTCATTCAACAAAGAAAGTTTCTTAGTAATTGCTTGTAATTTAATTTGCAAACAGTATGTTATGCATAAGATATAAGCTGCGAAGATAACTGATAATTATTTTCACATTATCGTATCAATCGCTGCTTGCAATTAACTCAGTTTGATTGCCAATGGAGTCTGGATGTCTCGATTATGTTACGTAGTAACATGCAGATCGGCTTTCAACTAACACACCACGTGCATCACATAAACGTAACGGGATTAAAATCGGCAGCAACTGTATGCTCTAACAGCAACCACGCGCCATTACACGCAGGCACTGGAACGTGTATGATGAAGCAGCTGTCGGATTCTTCCACCACAGCAAGTTTTACGACATTAAACAACGTTCGTGAGAATTAACATAAGATAATTCATTACTCATTTAAAAAATCAGCAGCATTTATAAATGGTAGTCTCTTTCAAATAGCCTTAATACTTGATATAATATTGTTTGTTTGCTTTGCAACATACATTTATAATGTTTAAAATAAAGTCTAATTTGATGGATGAAACAAGGAAGTCGTATCTGAAGAAAATGTTTGCAAAAATGTAACTATAAAATAATAACTTGATGAAAGATCCTCGGGCTACAAGCCGCGTTAGGTGACAGAATAGTGAACAAACCATATCTTCTGCCAACGTTTCGAGAACTCTCTGTTTTCCCATCCTCAGGGCGCGCAAGAAAGTTTAAGTGGTCGTTCCTCCGTCCGGGCAGATCGCAACGTCCGCTACGATGTGTCTAGTCACACACTACAGTCTATCCCGGACCGTGTGTAACTGGTGGGATATGTTGGGTCTTCGGGATGTCTCAGGGATATTTGCTAAGCTCAGCTAGTCGGTAGGCAACGACTCATCTCAGTTGTGTTCACGGCTAATTCGTAGCAAATCAATCAACCACTTCATTAATTTCACAACCCTCTTACAAATCACTGCCACCTCCGCACGTAGGTCCACCTCTTCCAGGCTTACAAAGTGTTCTGTTGCAGCACTCCATCCCCCATCCTTCGCTACTAGAATCAATCCTTTCAGAGATGGGGAAAGATACCAGATGCCCACTTATCAGTGTGATAAGCCTTATTGTATTTGTCGGTCTTTTATGTCAGAATTTAATGTTATCTCTATGTCATTTCACTAATTGAAACTGGCACTTTGAGTTCTGTTGTTTGTAAAGCATAATGGAAAACACGCTTCTTTGCAGGTATAATATAATAGAATGAGTTTTAAAACTGAATTAGATGTACCGGCGAATTATGATCGTTAATATTAATTTAATCCTGTTTGTGTTTGCAGTGTGTAATTATTTGTATTATATTTCCAACATAAGAAGGCCTATATATAGAGAAATAGGTCTGTATCAACTGCTGATGTTAAGAGAATTGGTGATTAGTGTTCTATGAAGAATTGTCTTGTTCGTAGCATGGAAAGGTTTATATATGCTGTTTAATTCGCAATTGAACGGGACACATCAGCTATTGGCATATGCTGATGATGTTAATTTATTGGGTGTTGATATAAATACAATAAAGAGGAACACAGAAGCTTTACTAGAGGTTAGTAGACAGGTGGGGCTAGAAGTAAATTCGGAAAAAACTAAGTACATGCTTGTATCTTATCAGCAGACAGGCGGGCAGAATTGTCTTAGGGTGGATAATAAATTATTTGAAAGTGTTACAAAGTTCAAATATTTGAGAACAACAATAACATATCAAAATGATACTCATGAGGAAGTTAGGAGGAGACTAAATTCCGGAAATGCTAGCTACTTCTCAGTTCAAAATATTTTGTCTTCCTCTCTGACTTCTAAGAACCTGAAAATTAAAGTATAACAAAACAATAATTTTGCCTGTTGTTTTGTATGGGTGTGAAATATGGTCTCTCACTCTGAGGGAGGAACACAGATTGCAGGTGTTGAGGAGGAAAGAAGATGATGGGGTATGGAGAAAACTGCATAATGATGAGCTTCAAAATTTGTTGTTCTCCCCCAGTATTGACAGAGTGATTAAGTCAAAAAGAATGAGATGAGTGGGGCATGTGGTGCACCAGGTATTGATTGGGAAGCCTGAGGGGAAGAGACCGCTGGGGAGACCTAGACATAGATGGGAGGATAATGTCAGGCGGGATCTAAGGGAGATAGGAGTTGAAGGAGACTGGATTTTGGTGATGAACCTTTGGGTTTGGTAAGCCATATAGTTAGTTAATTAGTTAGTTATGTAACCTTGTAACCTGTAAGTCAGTGAGAAATTATGAATCCAACCTAAGATGTAGAAGGTTGAGAGCTCTTAATACGTTATTCCTGACTAATACAAAGTATGTTATACTATGAGCCTTGTACTAGCAGGGATGCAAGGGTAAGCGGAATAATAACTTCTAAATTAATGCTGTTAGTATAGCATACATAAATGCAAAGGTTTGCTAATGTTGTGTGTGAAATTGTTTATGTATGTGTGTTTGCGTGTGCATATGTGTGTTTGTATACAATATATAGTGAATATAAAGTGAGTGGTGTGTATTGGAGTAATTACACAAAATGCGACTTTGTTTTCAGTGGAGGGACCTTTACCAATCTGTCATTACAATGAGGACTGCCCCCCACACAAAATTTGTGACCGACTCAATCGTGTGTGTATCAACCCATGCTCAACGGATCCCTGTGGTCAGAATGCACATTGTTTGACAGTGAATCATGCCATTGATTGCCAGTGCCTTGATGGATACTCAGGAGACCCGCATGTGGAGTGTTTAAAAGGTACTTTGGCTCATGTTATTGACTGGTAGATATGAATTATAGTCATATTAATAATTATGTATAATATATAATACCTGATTGAATGTTCTGTCTACTTACTAAATGTTTTTTCCTAAGATGTTACAGAACGTATTGGTGAGATGAAACTTTTTCAATTTAGTTCCAGAATTTATTTTAATGGTGATTGCCTTTCATTTAAAGTAGAATATTTCATAAAGAATTTCAAACACCTAACACATTTCTCAGGTAAATGTTATAAACATTACCAATATGTGTAAGGAATGAAATTTTATTACCAGGACACACAGTGTAAAGCTTTTATATAGTTTAGTTAATAGGACGCAGTTGCTTTTATTTACTATGCAATTTTTTTAGAGATTATGCATCCATGATGTTTTGTGTAAAATGAAGGATTTTAGTACAGAAATATTCATAAGATAGATGTTGTGCTGTACACACTTGTAATGTTTATTGCATTGTATACCGACCTGTCATTTGTTATGGAGTTTAAACTTACTGAATCCTGATGCTCTCAGACCAGATAAATTAATTGTATTTTTATACAGCATTTGTTTTCTATTAAGTACAGCAGAAAATGATTAATTTTACTATATGTTACTACATTAGTCACAAAATATATGTACCCATATGCAGTTTTCTTCACTGACTTGGCAGTTTTAACTACAGAAATACTGATACATGATACTTACTGAACTGTTGATTTAATTTGCAATGACAGGATGCCATAGTGATGATGACTGCCTTACCACTGAAGCTTGCATCGAAGGCAGGTGTCAGAGTCCATGCAATTGTGGATTGAATGCTCAGTGTGAAGTATTATATCACAAAGCACTATGCAAATGCTTGCCAGGTTACAATGGAAATGCAACTTCAGAATGCCATGGTAAATATTTTGCATTATTAATATGGGAACAATAACCCAGTTAGAGGACAATTTAATGGGTGAAAATAATGTTACTTTTGTCTAGTTATTTATTCTTAAATATATTTTTTATGTTGATTGTCTTTTTGCAGCACTCTTATAGAGGGCTCTTGTTTTTAAAACACCTTTTTATGTTTAATATTCTAGCTTTCAGTTATTTATCCAGTGAGTATGTAATTGGTATATATGATCCTTTCTGCAACAAATGTATTGTGTGGATAGTAACATTTGTTCTGAAAGTAGTCTACTATTACTATATTCTGAGGATTAATTGTAGAGATTAAAAACTTCCTTGTAGTCAGAACACTTAATAATGTGCAATACTCTTTATTATGTAGATGCGTCATTTTATTTAAAAAATTCTTGTTTAGCACCAAGCAATCCTTGTGATCCAAATCCATGTGGCACAAATGCAATGTGTGAAATTGACAATGGAAACCCAATATGCTTCTGTCCAAAGGGATTGACAGGAAATCCATTCAGGAAATGCAGTGAGTATTTTGATGTACATTTTAAGGCATCAAATACCTGTAGATATACTTCATAATAGCTTTAACCTTACTGATGTAGCCATCATGTTTTATACATTGTTTTGAAATTAAGTATACGTCCCTTTTACTGTCATAATTTTTCATACATACAAGAATTTTAATATGACATAGTTATGTCATCATTGAGGTGTACAAAAAGTACCCATCATTAATTTATGACAGTTCTTCTCTTTACCATTACTTAAAGATATTTATGTGTTGATGCCATACTTATTATAGTAAGTGTAAAACTGAGAGATAACGAAGTGAATTAGACTGATAAGGTGTGTTTTGGCAGAAAACATTAAAAGAATGCCAGTGGGTTTGGCATATGCAGCAATATGTTTCATGATGACATTTGGTTAAGTCCTCCATTCCATATTCTATAAAAGAGATTTCTGCATTTAATGGAAATATTTTTAAGTCTGTGTTACATATATTTCTTATCTTATAATCAGTTATCCATATTTTACAAATATTTGTTTGACAAGAAATTACTATGCTGTATTGAATTTACTTATACATTGTTTTAGGTTTCTGAGTACTATACTGCCAGACATATAACTTAACCAGGAAAGCACATGCATAGATTGAGCTAACATCAATATATGAGTAGTGTGTTTTATTTGCTACTTATTGCTGTTTTCAGTTCCTGAAGGAGAGAAATGTGAACCAAATCCATGTGGCCCAAATTCAGGTTGTCACATTGTGAATGGCTCACCACTCTGCTTCTGTCTCCCAGAATATGAAGGCAATCCTCCATCAGAATCATGTCATCTACCGTCTAATCCTTGTGATCCATCTCCTTGTGGTCCAAACACACAGTGTGCCATTTTGAGCAATGGATTTGCCAAATGTACATGCCTACCAGGCTTTTTGGAGAGCCCTAACACCATCAGAGGCTGTGTGAGAAAGCACAATCCTTGTCAACCAAACCCTTGTGGTTCTGGAGCTATCTGTGATCCAAACAAGGAACCACAGTGTTCCTGCCCTGAATCTAGTTTTGGGAATCCTTACCAAAGTTGTCATGGTATGTGGATATAGCTGTAATGGAACTGAATCACTATTAGCTTATGTACTAGATTGTTTCATATTTAAGTGTGGTGTAATTTGATGCTATTGTACATGTGTTATTTCATATACAAATCTGGTTAGTTCATGCATTTTATTTCCATTTTCTTTTGCTATCATATGGGTCCAAATAACCAGGTTTTAAGATAATTTTAACATTAATTAAATTTCCCGGAGTTCACTCTGTTACATATTACAAATAAATTATGAAGAGCATGAGTTTATATCAAGGTAACAACATATAGGATAGAATAGCTCTTTATATTTACAAACAGACTCAGAGAGAAGAAGAATTATCTGGCTAACTTATGGGTCCATGGAATGTAATTAAGATACATAATTTATGATGTTAATTTCTGAAGGAACCAATTTTTTCACTAATATCATATCTTTTTTCTGCTATTCATTTCCAGTGGCACTGTACTTTTATATGGTGCATATATCTGATTATTCTGTCTTTTACAGTACCTGTGATATCTCTGTGTCAACCTGGGCCGTGTGGCAGTAATGCTGACTGTTACATCACTGGGAATCAAGAATCTTGCTATTGTAAATCAGGCTACAAAGGTGATCCATACTCAGGTTGTATCTCAGAACCTCCCAGTCCTTGTCTGGCTAACCCATGTGGGCCCAATGCCATCTGTACAGCTTCACCACAGGGTTATCCCATGTGTGTCTGCCCTGATGGAATTTCTGGTGATCCCACTGGCCCTACAGGCTGTGGAAGACCTGAATGCAGAACAGATGATAACTGCACAAATAAACTTGCCTGTATTGCATACAGTTGTCGTGACCCATGCCCTGGATCTTGTGGCATAGGAGCCTCATGCCGTGTGGAGAAACACCATCCAGTATGCACATGCAATCATGGTCTAACTGGAAATCCTCTGATAAGGTGCTCACCACTTCAAGGTGAGTAGTTTTATTAGTCACTTGTTTGTTGAACTTTAATTCTACATCTTACAGTTTGTTAATTTATAATACTCATATACAGTGTCACGTTGTATTATATTTTTAATTTTTAATCATTTTATGTGAGTCACAATTTACCCTTTGTTAGTACATGACTTAATCATCAGAACATTTTTGTGTATTATATCTTCTTCATCTGAGTCTCATTTCCATAATAATTATTGCTTTTAATAGTATATTTTATATTGTTGATTTTATTCACATTTTATTGATATTTTAATACTTTTGTAATGACCTCTTATCATGGACAGTATTTTAAGGTTTGAAGATAAGAACAGATATGCTTAGAAAAATAAGTTAACATTTTATTTAAGCTGGTTTGTACCCAGATAATGTTTAAAACATTCTTACTAATATTTGTAGTTGAGATTCTTAAGTGAATTTGACACGATAAGATTAGGCAGCTCCATGATGCTGTGAAATCCTGGTATTTTCATTGTTGTATTTACAGTAATTTTACTAAAATAGATTTTTGATATAATATTTTCTATATCCACTGGAGTTCATCATAACAGTATTTCACTGTTTTTAGGATTACAAATTTAATTGTCTATAATTTTCACATTATAAATAATAATAACATAAGAAAATCTTGGTTATTTGTTCTATGAGATCCCTGGTTTTGTGGGTAATGTGTTTACTTAGTTTGGCACTCAGAAGTCTGAAAGCTAAATTCAAATTGGAAAGTGCCTGCTTTTTGATGTTTTTGATGGAATCAAAGACGATCTAATGTACTACCAAAGTTGCACCTTGCTAAAATCAGGGAACTGGTTGGATTCTGTCCTAAGGCTAAGGCCTAAATGCTAATACCAAGCTAAGGATTCACCATTCCCTTTATTAAAAGGGAAATTGAGTGAAAACACATGTTTGGCTGTATGCAAGGGCAGTTTCAGTCAGGCACCCATCTCCAAGTTTCTGCTAGCAAAAGAATATAATTTTCCTTAAAAGATGGTGATTGACATATGAAATGTAGTAGTTGGAATAAAACGCCAATTAAATCAAGAACATACAAGAAAAAAATCTGTACTGTTGCATTCTTTTTTGAAGTAAGGGGTGTCAGGACTACGCATCCCTATGCCCAAAATGAAAAGGATCATGTTTATTTTGAAAGAATTTGTGTGTTTGTACAGTTCCACCTCCAAGTGGTCCATGCCACCCAAGCCCATGTGCTGTCAATGCCTACTGTCAAGTGCTGGGGGGACGAGCAGTGTGTACATGTATGGAAGGTTTTGAAGGTGACCCTTCAGTCAACTGTCATCCTGAATGCGTGATCAACACAGATTGTCCTTTAGACAAGGCTTGCCTAGACAGAAAGTGCATAGATCCATGTGCTTTGGGTGCTGTTTGTGGTATAAGAGCCATATGTCTGGTTAGAGATCATACTGCAACTTGTGCCTGTTCAGATGAACATACAGGAGATGCTTTCATCCAGTGCATACCGAGACGTAAGTAACACATATCTCATGAATAGACTGTAACACTGTTTTTGGTGTATTTTGTGTTGGTGATAGCTCAGTCAGTATAGTGACTAGCTACGGGCTGGACGGCCGGGGTTCGATCCCAGACGGGGGGGCAGAGGATTTTTCCTCTAGCCTCTGCGTCCAGACCGGCTCTGGGGGCCACCCAGCCTCCTCTACAATGGGTACCCGGGTCCTTTCCCAGGGGTAAAGCCGGCCGAGGCGTGATGCTGACCACTCACCCCCATCTAGTGCCGAGGTCAAGGAAGAGAGGAGCTATACCTCCTCTCACCCCAAACGCCTACATGGCGTATAGTGGGACAAACTTTACTTTACTTTTACCATTCCATAGGTAAACATGTAGCGCATTAAAATCTTGATATACAGAGTGTCCGTTTCTGAACCTCCTCTTCTAATCCACTAACCTGGCTAATGCTTATTTTGGCCTTCACAAACAATCTGCTTAAGGAAATGTGGTTCCGTCAAGTTGATTGATTCCTCTGTTCCATTCCGCTTGAATAACAGCATTTGGGCCCGAATCTTCAGCTTGTCCTTAGACTGAAGACAACTGTCTTCTGAAATGCATTTCCGTGTAGTCTGTTAGAAGTTTACCAATATTTTAGAGGTCCTTGCTGCCTCCATATTCAGGGCAATAAGTAATTGCTCATCGCCAAGTAGACAGAAATCTTTGGACGCAGCGCCGTGAAAACCTCAAATTCCTCTGTCCTAAGATTGTTCACGTGCTCAAAGAGCTGAAAGCATTAATAACAGCATGAAAAAATATTACATTAAAATACAGCGTAGCTCAAAATATGTAATTTGTAAGAAAGAGGATAGCTACCAAATATTTTCTGCTAAAATTAATAGTTTTGCGAGGAACTTCATGAAGATGCTTTTGCTAAGATTTTTGGTGTAGGCATTGTATATGTATATGTTACCTGACCTGGAAGGTGTCAGCATGTCACGACTAAGAAGAATGCAGTGGCATGTGAAACGGAGGCAGAATTATTTTACTTTTAGGTAACAAGGAAGAATGTGATTCGGACGGGTTTAAATGTACCTCCTTTATATATTTTTATACCGACATTAACCTTGATTTTCGTTTATTACTAATATCCCATCGGTGTAAAGTCAATCATTCTACAGGCATCACATCACACACAGTCACACCATACTTCTTCTTTGTATTTCATTAAATATTTACTACCACGATAAGTGTTCCCAACAAAAGTTTCATATGTAAAGAAATTGCGTAAGCATTTTCTGCGATTTGTCAGTTTGAAATGTATTTACAAAATTCCAATTGAGCTACGTGTAACATAGAAGCAACTTTGGAGTTTAACAGGGCAGAAGAAGGCCGAAAGTTTTAGTACAGATTTCACAGTACCAGACCGAAGTGAACCCGTCTAATAGTTTTTGAAATAAAGCGGTAAAAATGAAGGGAAGAAGCCACCTCGGAATTATAAATGCATTTGTTTGATATCGTAAAAATTGCATACCATTTGATATCATTCTTTTCATTCAACAAAGAAAGTTTCTTAGTAATTGCTTGTAATTTAATTTGCAAACAGTATGTTATGCATAAGATATAAGCTGCGAAGATAACTGATAATTATTTTCACATTATCGTATCAATCGCTGCTTGCAATTAACTCAGTTTGATTGCCAATGGAGTCTGGATGTCTCGATTATGTTACGTAGTAACATGCAGATCGGCTTTCAACTAACACACCACGTGCATCACATAAACGTAACGGGATTAAAATCGGCAGCAACTGTATGCTCTAACAGCAACCACGCGCCATTACACGCAGGCACTGGAACGTGTATGATGAAGCAGCTGTCGGATTCTTCCACCACAGCAAGTTTTACGACATTAAACAACGTTCGTGAGAATTAACATAAGATAATTCATTACTCATTTAAAAAATCAGCAGCATTTATAAATGGTAGTCTCTTTCAAATAGCCTTAATACTTGATATAATATTGTTTGTTTGCTTTGCAACATACATTTATAATGTTTAAAATAAAGTCTAATTTGATGGATGAAACAAGGAAGTCGTATCTGAAGAAAATGTTTGCAAAAATGTAACTATAAAATAATAACTTGATGAAAGATCCTCGGGCTACAAGCCGCGTTAGGTGACAGAATAGTGAACAAACCATATCTTCTGCCAACGTTTCGAGAACTCTCTGTTTTCCCATCCTCAGGGCGCGCAAGAAAGTTTAAGTGGTCGTTCCTCCGTCCGGGCAGATCGCAACGTCCGCTACGATGTGTCTAGTCACACACTACAGTCTATCCCGGACCGTGTGTAACTGGTGGGATATGTTGGGTCTTCGGGATGTCTCAGGGATATTTGCTAAGCTCAGCTAGTCGGTAGGCAACGACTCATCTCAGTTGTGTTCACGGCTAATTCGTAGCAAATCAATCAACCACTTCATTAATTTCACAACCCTCTTACAAATCACTGCCACCTCCGCACGTAGGTCCACCTCTTCCAGGCTTACAAAGTGTTCTGTTGCAGCAGTCGGTAAAACTCCTTTTACACCGTAAGCATGTTTACGGTGTAAAGTACAGTCTATCCCGGACCGTGTGTAACTGGTGGGATATGTTGGGTCTTCGGGATGTCTCAGGGATATTTGCTAAGCTCAGCTAGTCGGTAGGCAACGACTCATCTCAGTTGTGTTCACGGCTAATTCGTAGCAAATCAATCAACCACTTCATTAATTTCACAACCCTCTTACAAATCACTGCCACCTCCGCACGTAGGTCCACCTCTTCCAGGCTTACAAAGTGTTCTGTTGCAGCAGTCGGTAAAACTCCTTTTACACCGTAAACATGCTTACGGTTTGACAATCAAAATTTCAATCTTTGCCCCAAAAGAAAATGTAATATCAACTCCCACTTGGCGCGAGTCCAAGTTCATCCGACAAAACACGACAATGAGTGAATAATAACAAGCCTTATGACCTAACATATAAATTTAGATTCATTACATGTACAGAATTAACATAAACCGATAAAGGGATTGATAAGCAGTTACAAAAGAAACGGACTGGTTACCGAGCAGCCATTACATCGACATTATTGTCATGAATTCAGTTTCACGGAATCAACTTGAGTTTGTTTCCCTGTGACATTTCCATCGTAGTGTCTTCACTTGCCAGAGTGAAAAATACTCTTAAATGTCGCACTGTCATGACATTCTGGCAGTGCTAGTAAGGGTACGAACGGTTATATTTTCACTTTGTGTTATTTTCGTATGTGGGAATAATGGAAGACTTTTCGAGTTTCAACAACATTAATTTCTAGAGGTATTTCAAGAACATCCATGCTTATGAGACAAAGTTCATCCAGACTTCAAAGACATACTCATTAGGAGTACAGCTGAAGAGCCCCTTTTCAAAATTACTACAAAACGCGATAAATAATCCTTTAGCTAAGCCTCGCGCTATCAGAGCATAGTAGCGGAGTACAAGTAAAATTTCACTTATTCTTAATTTGATAAATTGGAGTGATCGTTTAATTCCCTGAATGGGTAAGTTAATAGGTGTTTTCCAAAAACGATGACGTTTGTTGACAAACCAAAAATTCTTACCCTGCCGAGAATTGAACACTAGTCATCAAGCCTGTTCAGCTACCCTGTTAAACAATGCACCATCGTAGTCTTTTCTTACTTTGTCCCAGTTTTTGACCATCGTTCATTCATTGTTATTTTGCGTGTCGTTGTATTACATCTGAATTCTCAGCTAGTCGTCTGGCACAACGCCCTTCTGTCAGTACAACCTGATGTGACCACATAACACCAGACGTACCTCACTAATTTCATAACGCCACGGTATGTAATTATTACACAGGGATTATTATGTTATTATAATGATATAATTCTACAGAACACTCTAAAATTTTAGTGTGAGTTGTCAGATTTCTAAGGCACGTTGGTACTGTATGTCTGAGTACTGTAAAGTACTTAGAAGAAAGTAGTTCTCTGATTCCAAAATTCCAAAATTTCTATTTTGAAATTTAATTTGTCTACACCTTTATTGAGTTAGGATAAACAGTGATCTGTTTTTTTTACACGTTATATTTTGGTTTAATTTAGATTATTTAACGAAGAAGTGTTATTGATTATAATAGATGTGATCGTCAGTTCTTATCATTTATCAGCTCAAGTAACTGGAAATAACCATGAAACAGTCAGGATAGCTTTGCTGTCAATTCTCTAATATAAGTCTTGAATATTTCCACGACACCAAAATGTTCTCTGCATTTGATGAAGTATGTAGTGCTGCAAGTTTCGGTCTCGCTGCTTAATTCAAATTTTTATTTGGCATTCTAGAATTGCTCGCCTTCCCTGAATGCATGGTTTCTTTTTAAGTTTTCCATTTATTTTTGCCAGTATTCCTCTTTGTTTCATTCCTATGTTTTTTCTTTATAATTTCTACAACCTTTCGTGCAACATCTTGCATTAACTCTCACTTTTTTCTATTTATGTAATTTTGTGTTTGTCTCAAGAAACTTGTAAATACTTGACTTTCAGTGTCAATGTTGTTGCTCTGGATTGTGGCGTCTTGCGGACTTGATTTGTATCTAATTACAAGTCAACACGGCGTCACAACCAGAAGACCAACGACATCTTTACCGCTGTGAGAACCTCAAAATCACATCTGATTTTCTAAGATACAAGAATGATGTATTAAGTAGGGCTGCTGTGTAATAAAATTGCTGCTAAGTGTCCAACACCTATCAAGTGAAGTCATATCGACCCCTGTATTTCATTCTAACACATAGTGTCTGAGATTTGAGGTTCTCACTGGGGTTATGATGCCTCGTTTTTCGTTTTATATAATATTGTGTACATTTGGAATTCTGTCTCTATGAATATTTATAAAATTAAATAAAGTAGAATTCCGTGCTTTATCGACTTCTTCTCTGATATTCGTGTTGAGTAGTCAAAAGATCAATAAGCGGGCCGGGTGTCGTGTATATTAAAA